TCTTTGTTGGATATGATGGATGGATTTGGAAAGGTGTAGAATACGATTTATTACAGGGGGGTGGGGGGCCATATAGAGTATATATATTGTATAATTAGTATCTAATTAATATTAAGTTAATTACAATTCGTCATGTGCCAAAGTCTTAGCTGTTGCCTTTTCAGGTTTGGACTTGACTTCAGGTTTAGATTTATCTTCAGATTTCACCTTTTGAGATTTGGATTTTACCTTCCTGGTAGTCTCTTCCTGTTGAATTTTCTTTAATTCAGAAGAAGTGGTACTCTTCTTACTCTTCTTACCTGTTCTATACTGTTCGAATTTAGCTCCCTTTTTCGATAATGGACCTTCAATCGGATTCACTTTAGTCACATCGATAATCCATTGAGTGATTTTCGTTTTATCATCCAATTTCTCAGTTCTATCATATTTCACAAACTTTTTCCCTTCGGAATCATAATAAAACAATGCAGAACCTTCAACTCCAGGAAGTACAACATCCTCCTTTCCAATTTCAAATGTCCGATTTCCGGAATCATCTTTACTAACCATTCCGATATCAACCCTTTCAAGGAAATCAATAGCCAAAGATTTCAATAATGGATTAATGGTTCTCTTTTGGGTAACCAATAACAATTTAGGTCTTGTACCTTCTTGTCCAAACCATGGTTCTAAATCATCACTATTTAAATTATGAAACTTTTGAACATAATTCTTCATTCTACTTATTAAAAATTTCGAAAGATCTTTCACGGTTCTTTCACCATTATAAACCTCATTAGCATGTTGTTGACTTTGATATCTTTTAGATTTCTTTGCTTTCGTTTCATCAAGTTCATATTTTGGAGGACGAAAGATTAAAAGGGTTGGATATGATTGAATTCTCATCAGACTACAAAGTGGTTTATTTTCTTCATTTTCACAATTAACACTGGCGACATTGATTGAATATTGAGTGTCTTGATTAATTAATTTTCCTAATTTTTCATAGATTGGTTTTAATCGTTGACAGTATCCACACCATGGAGCATAGAATTTAACAATGGTTGTATAATTTGATCTATAAACTACTTTATTAAAAGTAGATGGAGTTAATTCATAAATATTGGGGTTGGTAGCATATTCATCAGCACTAGAACGAGCAGCCACTAGACAGACCAATTGGAGTACAATTGTAAGTAAATATGTTGAATACATATTCAATTCTTCTCTTAGATCTCAATTTGAATGGAAACAAGAAAGAAAGAAAGTAAGATGATGTAATTATGGGGTTTTTTGCTTTGCTGTACTTTTCTCACTGGGGGGAGTTTTTCGGTCTATCTGGCCCTTGGCCCTTTACCAAGCAAAACTGCCAATCAACAATCATATCTCGAAGGAATACTACAAAGACAATATAGAATTAGAGTACGCCCTACGGACAAGATCAGTGCTAACCATAGATCATAAATGTACAACTTCTCTCTAAGCCAAACAAGAAGTATCATTCATTTTTCTATACATGATAAACATATAATAGTAATATACAAAAGAAAACACCTTCCAACTCGATCTCTCTTCACTCTCTCCTTCTCTCTAAAACAACTCACTCGAGCAATTGACCTATCCTGCCCCACTCACTTCCAGTCATTCTCTAAATATAAACCCCAACAAAATTTGCAATATAAATAGAACCCAAAGCAACAGAAATCGAAGCAATAATCGAATTGGACAAATATGAAACCAATGACTTCTTCTTCACATCTCCCAATAATGTCATTGATAATGATGCAAATGCAATCAAAACTAACAAAAGGGTGAATAGGGCAGAAAAGGTGGAAAATTGGTGTAATTCAACTGGACTTGATTCAGATGCAAATATTGATGCATAGAGTTCGTAGCTTTCTCCACTTGGTGGTTTCGTACTGACGTGGAACATTATTGTTATGATTATATCAATTGGGGTTGGGGTTGGTCAGTTTCAAAGTAGGGTGTATATTGATATTGGAGAAAGTGAATTGCGTGTCTGAAAAATAGATTGGGAAAATATTGAACATTAGTACACGACTATCATTCTTTCGGATTAATGAATTGAATTGCCATCAACCATCATCTTTCTTCTATTGAGATACTCTCTATAGAAGTAGAGCTTATATACAGAGAATATAATGTCAGAAGGAGGTTGGAATACAATTGACTCCGATGCAGTATGTGATTTCTAATCTATCATAATCAAGTCACCCCAATATACTAACATACCAACCAGGGAGTCTTCACCGAATTAGTTGAGAAACTAGGAGTTCAAAACATCGAATTCAACGATCTATATTCAATCGACTCATCATCACTCCATTCCCTCGCTCCAATCCACGGAGTAATCTTCTTATTCAAATATGGAAAACTCGACCGACAATTCGCCCAACAAGACAATAAACCAATCCATGGCACCTATGACCCAAACTACATTGACAATCAAATCTTCTTTGCCCAACAAACGATAAATAACGCCTGTGCAACCCAAGCCGTCCTAAACGTCCTCTTCAACCTGGAAGGAATCGATCTCGGCCAAGAATTGGATAATTTCAAACAATTCGTCACTGGATTCGATAGTGATATGATTGGGGAAACGATTTCAAATAGTGATTTGATTAGGACTATACATAATTCATTCTCGGCTCCGAGTATGTTAGTGGATGAGGATAAACCGAATCGAAATCCTGATGAGGATGATAAGAATGACGGATTGTTTCATTTTGTGGGATATGTTTATAAACAGGGCAAGATTTATGAATTGGATGGGTTGAAATCTTATCCTATTGTGCATGGAGATTGTGGGTCTCAAGAGGAGTTTATTGAAAAGTTGCCGGGGATCATACAGGAACGGATTGGGAAATATGGGAATGATGAATTGAGGTTTTCATTATTGGCAGTGACTAACAATAAGTTGGAAGCAGCTAGAGAAATCGGTGATGATGAAGAGATTCAACGTCAAATGCATAAACGAGAAGTATGGCATCATGAGAATGAGTTAAGGAAACATGATTATACTGGATTGATTGTACAATTGTTAAAGAATATTAGTAAGGAGAAGACTGATGAAGAATGGGAAGAATTATTGAAAAAGGGTAGAAAACAAACTCAGAATTTACTTGCTCAAAGAATTGCCAAATCCCAGAAATGATTGTTAATGTAATATCTCTGTAATGTCTGTATTATCTATGTACAAACTTGATGTTTTATTCATAACTACCAAACGAAAACATTCCTCCGGATGTTCTACTATGTCTTGAGAAATAATCAAAATCAATACTTGTAAAACAAGATAAGATAATTGCTCTTTGATCCAAAGTCACTCCTTGACTCGAAACCTCTTCTCCATAATGAGTACTCACACCTTCAAAACTAGCAGGATCAAATCTCAAAATATAAACCCCAGTATCAGTAAACAATTCTCTCCCCAATCCTACCCAATTTCTATCCACACTTGCCATAATCTTCCCCTCGGCATTTCTAATTGGGAAATCAAATGAAAGAAATGGAGAATCAACCATTCCAAATTGTTCATATTCATCAAGTTGTTCATCTTCCAATTTAAACAAATTATATCTCCTCCTCCATAAATGCCAACTTTGAACACTTTCTCCAACACATTCAAACATCAAATCATCAAATTCATCATATCCAGGTAAATAAGCTTTAATATGAGAATTTATAAACAGGAAAGGTCTTTTAATAGTTAATGCCAATTGTCCATATTTATCAAAAACATCAATATCAAATGGACGATGTAATCTAAAGAATTGTCTTCCGATTATTTTTGCTAATCCGACATCTTTCTCTTGCATGGATCCAATTACTTCTCCGGTAGCATTCATGATGATATATCGATTTGCTTGTTCGAATCCGAGAAATAAATTCATGAATTCAATTTGTCTTTCAATGACAAGGGTGGGTTCTTTAAGTATGTCATAGATTGGATCATTGGGAGTAATTATACCATTCTTATTTTCAGGTAATGTGAATGAATATGATGGTTGTGGTGGTGGTGGATACAGATGCAGTTGTTCATATTGGAATGCACGTGCTTTTGCTTGTTCTTGAGCTTGTTGTAATCGTCTGAGTTCGTCTGGTGATATTTCTTTGGTTATTCGTGTGCTATTGTTGATGAAACGGGCATATTGTAATGAGGATGATGTTTTGAGGGTACGTTTAGATAGAAAGGTTAAGGAATTGTGGTATCCTGTTAATTGTTTAATTGGAATTGATCTTATCATTACCAGCGGGAGTATGTCTTTAGTTACCTTCTAGATTTACAAATAATCAATTGAGTCTGGGCAGGAAGTAGAACTGGAAAGGGATAAAAAGTATTTGAAAAATGGGAGTGGCAATGGAAATCCCCGATATACCCTCGTTCCCTTAACAAATCACGTGATAGAGATATTTCTCAGTAGAAAAAAGATTTTCTTTAATTTTACGTTACATTTGGAAAAACAATTGAACACTTAAAAAAAAATGAGCAAACAAAATTCAAAAAAATCAAAACAAAGAATTTAACTTAATAAAACGTACTAACTTTTATAAAACCAACTAACAATGTCAGAAAGGTTATCAACATCAAAGAGAAGAGAAGCTATTAGAGAAGAAGTGCGTCGAGGTTCAGTCAAATTAGAACTTGAGAAAGAAATTGCCTTGTCAGCAACGACAACTGCTGCTGCAGCTGTTGCTGCTGTTTCCGCAACCCAAACCAAATCTGACGATGCTACCAATCAACAAGAAGAACAACCAGATCTGATTGAATATCAAGATGATGTTGACGATGATGATGATGAACCAGAATATAATCCAGATAAAGATATTGCTAATGAAGAAGATGATGAAGATGCTAATTATGATGAAGATGATGACGTTGATGACGAGGATTTTATTGAACCATCATTCAAACGTGATGAAAAATCAAAGCATAAATCCACCACCAGCACCACCAAAAAATCACTCCCCGCCACTTCCGCTACTAACAGAGTATCAAAACAACCCCATCCTGATGTATTACCAGGTATGCCAGAACCTCAAACAAGAACAATCTTTAAACTTGACGATCCAAATTCAACAACTTGTGAATATTGTGGTAAGAATTTCCGTAATGTAATTGATAAACGTAATCATCGTCGTACACATTCTCAACCCAAGAAATATGAATGTAATCTATGTGGGAAACGATTCAGTCAAAGACCAAATGTTATTCTCCATAAAACAAGAGTCCATAAAGATTTACAAATAAATCCCGAAACATTAAGAACCGAATTCTCTGACCCTACCACCGCTACCGTCACCGCCATAGGATCATCATCTGTACCAGAAGAATTATTAATACCCAAACTCGCAGAAGTAAGAGTCTTTCATTGTGATATAATCGAATGCACAAAAACATTCCTAACCTATAAAGACCTCCTTACTCATAAAATCACCGATCATAAAAACCAAAAAATCCCCTCCGTGAGATCCCTTTCCTCCACCACCTCCACCACAAATTCTTCCCCACCAACCTCCTCATCCTCATCCTCAAATCGTCCATATAAGAAATCAACCCGGCCCAAAATCAACAAATGCACTCATGAAGGTTGTGACAAGGCATTCGCCAAGGCATCAGATTTAGTCAGACATATTAGGGTACATACGGGAGAAAGACCATTCATATGTGAGATATGTAATGCGGGTTTTAATCAACGGTATAGATTGACTACTCATATGAGAGTACATACTCGTGAAAAACCATTTGCGTGTAGTTATTGTGGGAAACGATTTGCGAGGGGGGATGCGGTACAATCACATATTTTTGTGATGCATAGATCGAAGGGAGAGGCTATTGAGAAATTTCCAGGGAATTTGGAGGAATTGAATGAATCTTAGGGATGATATTAGAGGTGGAGGGAGTGGGGATAATGTTTTGTTGTTTTTTCTATTTTTTAGTTTTATAGTTGTATTATTGTAATTGTATTAATTTTTAACTTATCCATATCACTCGATCGATAGATCGTTTCTTCCCTTTGAAATGCGTCTATATTGTAAGCTATTGCATTATCTTGTGTGATGTTGGATCAGTCTCCATAATCACTGAAACGTGTCACGAGGATATCGTTTGTCAAAATTCTTGCAATAATTGGCTTAATTCTTGTCCAAAACTCAACAAGAAGGTTCATCTACATATCAAAGAAATCTAATTAAATATATCCATCACGACCTCCACTATCACAGCCCCCCCCCCACAATTATATCCCATTTCAATCTCCCCATCTCCATAACATATCATAAACACCAATCCAAACAAAATTCATATTGGTTGCAAAAAAAAAACATCCATTCTTCAATACAAAAATTAGATAGATTCCACCCATCAAATTGGCTGCAATCCCATCACTAGTTCAACTCAATTCCGTGATAGTTTAGTGGCTAGAATTACCGTTTGTCGCATGGTAGACCGGGGTTCAATTCCCCGTCGCGGAGCATTATCTTTTTGTCAATTCTTTGTATGATTAGTTTGTCAAATTGAATTGGTATTAGGTTTTTTTTCAAAATTTTGACTCGAGATTTTTTTTTGGGTTGGGATTTTTCGGGTGAGCGAGAAATTCGGGTAGAATTTTGCTTAGTTCAGTTTATACTAGGTAGCACAAAATTGGGACAGATAACACAATCTAGATTGTGCCCCATGGGACAATAATATCACATTTCCCCGGGGTTTTATCAGTTTGGGTAAATAGCGAAATTATATAAATAGAGGTGGAAATAGTTTAATAAAAATTAAAAAGAATGAAAGAAAAGAAAAATGCATCGCAGATTAAACTCCGAAAATCGATTTGCAATCAATCGAATCAATATGAAATATCATGTGATAACTTAGAAGTTTAGTTTAGTTATATTGTTATCTGAATTAGACAAATAATGATCAAGATGAACTTCTGGAAATATGAAAAATTTTCAATCAAAACATGACTCAAAGTCTTTCTAAGTATAAGGTACAAAACAGTGAAAAATAAATCTTTACTTATCGTAAGATTACGGAACCGAAGTACGGAAATTCCAAAAAAAAGCTTCTTTTTTTTGTTTAAATGAAAATTTTAAAATTCTAAAAACTAAATATAAAGAAAAAGCGTTAATATTTTATATACACCATCATTATCCAACTTATTCTAATTTCTTAGTGTTATTAGCTTCTGTAGCACTTAATACAACTTTAACATCACTAGTTAATAAATCCTTAACATATTCATAAACAGTAAAAGTAACAGCTTGACCAGGAGCAACTCTTAAAATTCTTGGAGTAATACCTTTATACAAGGCATGAATACCTTCTTCTTTAATCAATTGTTTACCAATTTTAACAATACGAACTAAACCAGATTCATTAGATGCGAAAGCGGTCTTTTGTAATCTAGTTTTAATAGTATCCAAAGGAGCATTTGATAAAGGACCTAAAGCACCAGAAATCAACCCAATACCAGAAGTTTGCCAAGATGGTAAAACTTCAGTATCTTGTCTATCTTGTAAATATTCTTTTATTTTGGAATATACGGTGAAATTAACCCCTTGATTACTAGCTTGTCTTGCAGCAGTTAAAGAAACACCTCTATATAAAGTCTTAAAACCTTCTTCTTTACAAATGATATATGCAGCATGTGGAGCATTTCTATATTTTGGAATATCTAAAGGATCCTTCATGGAATGATGTTGAGCTTGTAATCTAATTTTAACAACTTCCATAGGATTAACAACCATAACTGCTTCAGTGATACCTGCACCTACACCAGCAATAAAAGTTTTCCCAGTAGTAATATTACCTTGAGCATCATAAAATAATGAACGATAAAATTCATAAGAACTAAAACGAATAGCCATTTTTGGGACAATACCAATAACAACTGCTCCTAAACCTTTATAAAGAGCTAAAACACCTTCTTTAGAACCAATATCTATACCTGTTTTAATGAAACCAGGTGGTTTTTGTCCTGATCTTCTGTAAAGTTGCATACGAACTTTAATGGTATCTAATGGATGACAACATAATGCTTCGAATAAACCGGCAACACCACCAGCAATGAAATCGGTTGCACCTCTTTTTTTATTTTGAGGTTTTCTTCTCAGTGAAACTTGAGCAGCTACTGGAGCTTCAGTAGTAGTAGTAGTTGAACTTGACATTATGATATGTTAGTTAATGGATATATATAAATAATGAAAAGATGAATAAATAAATAAATTAAATCAATAAAAGATTTAAAATGAAATAAAATAAAATATAAAAAATTGAAAAATTCTTTTATTTAAAGAAGAAGAGAAAGAAGAGAAAAAGAATTTAAGGAAATTTGTTTGAATATTTATACATTTCTTTAAGAAGCATATGAATGTGGGTATAAAACTCAACGTTTTTTCAATATGAAAAATACTCCGAGCCGTGGGAAATTAGAAAAAATTATTATTTTTTTTTAAAGTTTCATTGTAACATTAGAGAAAATTAAAAAATAATAATTTTTCTTTTAGTCGTTTGAGAAATCCGGGGGAAATCAATTAATATTTTTTAATCAGCACAAAATGATTCATTTTTTGGTTTTTCCTTTACCCCGGAGATTTTTTTTGTTAAAGTTTTTTCTACTTAACCATAATCCTTAATTTTAATTGGTCGATTAGCTAATCACATGACCTGTCACTTGACTACTTTATCCATTTTCCAAGACAAAACACAAAAACGCTATGTCTCATTTTATTATTAATGATTGGTCTGTACTCACCCCGGAGAAATGGGTTTCCCTTTCATTTATATAAATAGAGAGTAGAATGGAAGCTCAAGTCAGATCTTACGTGTTTGTGTAGCACAACATGATATACATCTACAAATGAATAATCTTTATAAAAACTATTAAAACCATTGAACTCCTACTAATAAATAAATAAATAAACTTATAATAAAAATGTCTAATAACTGTAAAACTGTAAATTCATGTATCATAACTCTCTCAAATAAAAATAATCGAATTAAATTAAAAAGAACCAACAAAAAAGAAAGAAAAGATTAAATAAATTCTCGGCATTGAAGTCCGAAATATATTAGTTCAATCATCATAACCGGTTTTGTTCTTTTCTTTGTGACATGTAGATCTTCTTAACTCGCCTGTATACCGGCTTAAACTTAATACAATGTGATTCGAGATGACTTCCATAAAGCCGATTATCTCCCCATACTTTTAACCAATACCGTCATTGCTTTATACCATATATACATCAACAATCAAATTATGATATCCAACTTCATCTAAAATCATATCAAGAAATACTTCCATATCCTTAACAATCATCTTCATGGCAGATATAACACTCACAGGAATCTCATCTTGTCGGCGTGTTCTAGTATTGTTATAGTAGTAGAAATGTCGTGATTCAGGTTGTTGAATATTTCGAATAAATTCAAGATGTTTTCTAAGGTGAATATCTGTAATTGGATTCATTGTTATATTTTGATGCATCAGGATTGCGGTAGTTGGGTAGGGAAATTGTTTATATTGACGGAAATACTTTTTAAGTTCATCATGACTAGAAGTACTGTTAGTATAGAGCATGGCAAGTGGTGAGAGTATAGGTGGAAACACATACTGATCTCGAATAGTGGAAATGTCGAGAATATCTAATTTGAATAATGTATCGAGGATGCATAGACTTACATATATCTCATGTCCAATATGATATTTAAGATCTTCTGTTGTAGTTGTAATTGGAGGATGTTGGGATATAGGTATACTATGTAGTTGTGGACCTAACATGAGGGTATAACGAATGTGCAGTGGTAATAGATATGGTGGAAGATAGGGGTGTTCACAAATGCTTTTGGCAATTTCAAATTATTTTTAATTGCTACCACTAACAAAAGAGAGAGAGAGGTTGCAATTGCAAAAAAAAAAAAAGAATACACAAAATACATTTTCATATATAAACAGAATAGAAGAATAAGAATAAGAATACCATACACTAAAACGAAAACAACCAAATTAAAAAAATAAAATCATAAAAGAAAATCATATAATATCAACCTCTCCACCCCCAACTGTATGTCCATCTCTAATCATTTTACTTCTTTTCTGGCTGTGCAGTCTTTGTCGTTTCTTCCCCTGCCCTTTGTTTCTTCAATTCAGCCAATCTCTTAGCTTCTTCATGAACTTCCAAAACATCTTTAGTCACCCCCCTATAAAAATCATGAATCTTAATTCCTAAAGGATGATTAGCAGCACTCACCAAATATTGTCCAATTCTAGAAGTTTCAAACACCAGTTGTAAATCTTGTGCTTTTCCTTGTGCCATTGCTACATTCTTCGCAACAGGAGATTCAGGATCATGCAAATGAACATATTTCTTATCTAATGAATCAACAAAATCAACAAATTTATTATAAAATCCATGTTGTTTATCAAATTCAAGGGCTTTGGCGATAATTTGGTCCAGGATAAGATATCCTTCTGAAAGAAGTTGGGCCATGATTGCGAATTTTGGTTTATCTTCTTGCGGTAAATCATTAATTTCTTTCTCAGTTTTGGCATCTGTTTCCCCTGTAGTGGCAGCATCACTGGTTGGACGAGGGGGTTGGGGTGGGGCAGATATAGCATCATCCAGATCGACTTTGATATAATCCCCGCCGAATTCGGCATCATTTAATAATAATGCAGTCTCTACTGCTTTCGGACTAGCAAATTCGACTCTAACACTTTTGAATTCTCCATTATTAAGAATTGATTCTAATTGAATTACTGTACCACAAAATGAAAAAAATTCTCGAATTTTATCATTTGATACTGATGATGGAATATTTGATGCTATTACCGATGACATGATTGCTTACTTGTTAATTGCTTAATTGCTTAATTGTTAATCAATTGAATATGTAATTGATATTAGGAATGAAAATCAAAAAAGTATTCGAAAAAGTAAAAGTAATAATAAGAAAATGGGAATTGGGAAATTTAAGGGGGGTTTTTATAGTTGTGACATTAATTTAATTATTTTTTTTGGGGTGTAATTATACATTAATTAATTATAATGATGATGAATGCAACAACGTAAAAATAATAATAAACTAAAAATTTAATAACCCAAGATTTTTCCGTTCGCTTATTAAATTTACATGTGAACCCATACACCTATTCTCATATGCACTATTAACTAACTACTGATCATTACACAATATATAAAGTATTGGGCTATGTGTGTGTTAATTAGAGATATGAATGACATTACAATAAAAAAAGGGGGCTGTAATACTAGAGCATACGTTTTTTTTTCCGGTACTTCAGCGGAAGCCCAACATAATTTGTAACATTCATTATTCCTCGGTATTATTAAACATATAAATCAATCTTACTAAATTACAAAATCTATAAACACTTTGGCCCATCACAATAAAGTTTGACCCATAGCACATCTTCCAATAGCACATGCAGCACTAACAGTATCCAATACATTTTCTTCAGTTTCAGCCAACATTGGATTAGTTTCAACAATATCCATTGAACTTAATAATCCACTTTCAGCCAATTCTTCAGCTACAAATAAACCTTCTCTTAAAGAAAGCCCCCCTTCTACTCTAGTACCAGTAGCAGGAACAAATGAAGGATCAATAGCATCAACATCATATGATAAATGAATTGGGAATTCTCTATTTGGATTTACTTTATCTAAAGCCATTTCAACAACTTTCCCAATACCATATTTATCAACATGATACATTGAAAATGCAGGAATACCATATTGTTTTAAAATCTTCTTTTCACCTTCATCAACATCTCTTAATCCAATATAAACCAATTTTTTGGGGTCCAAAACTTGTGGTACCCAATCAAATTCAGGTGGATATGATTCTTTATCAATACCCATAATAAAACTCAATGGACATCCATGTAAATTCCCAGAATCAGTTGTCTTGGGGGTGTTGATATCAGCATGAGCATCAACCCAAACAATACAAGTATCAGGATTATGTCTAAGTGCTGCACTACAAGTAGCCATCCCAATAGAATGATCACCACCAATAGTAATTGGGAATGAACCATTATCTAACGCGTTTTTAACAGCATCATGAAGTTTTTCACAACATTCACTAACAATTTTTGTATTTTTGATTCCAAAATCATCACGATCATCAGTTTTATGATCTTCATAATCTGTATTTGATAATGGTTCAACAATGGAGGTTTCCCAACCTAATGAACTGATTTGTTTTTCGAAACCGGCTTTAAGAATATAATCGGGACCTAATTCTACACCTCCTTTTGGTTGACCTCCAGAAAATGGGGCAGTAATAATTGTAGCTTTCTTATTTGGATGAAATTTATATTGAGCTAAAGAAAGAAAAAAGATTTGTTAGTAAAGATGAGATGAGATTTGATACTAGCTATTCAAATACATACTAGTCATGGTATATTAGTATTATTCTTATATGTATATTGAAGTAGAGAAGGAAATTCTTTTGACAGAGATTAAAAGAGAATTCTATGACATATTTATAATTTAATGATTTAAGTTGGAACTTGACAGAAACTGTTACAGAAGGGAAACTATGGAAAGAGCTCTGTAAGAAGACAGTATCTAAAAGGAAGTTAACTGCGATAGTTGCAAAAAGTTTCAAAAAAAAACTTTTTGACAGAACGGTGTATTCGGATAAATTTCACCTACACAAACAAAAATAATTATACGTAAACAGAAATTGAAACCGAGACATGGGTAGCAGTTTCCTTTAGAGAGTTAATCCACATACACGAATTCAGATTGATATGGTTATCTCTATTTTGCCTTAAGAGGCATGACTACTTTTACAATTCAACAATGACTTACCCCACACTTCTTTTTCATATTCCGTAATATATATTTATTCCTCTTTCAACATAAAATATTAATGGAAATTAACAACGATTTTCATTTCACTACTCTTTAAGCCAATTGAAAAAAAAAATGCCTTAACAGCTAAAAATAAACCATCACACAAAAAACGATTTCCTGTCATTAAAAATCTGATTACATAATCTAATAGTTGTCATTACGTAATCCAATACACGAGTTCCACATGCTCTCACAAATCTCAAAAAGTCATCTCTTCGATCTCCTGTATGCAGTACCTTGTTGCCAAATATCGCCAAATTGAACCCTCGGTCCCCCCACGAGGTCAGATTAAACACACCCATACAAATCTACAAAACTAAATTCACCTCTGGTGTTGTTGTTCCTGTTTGTTATTTGTATGGAAGAATAACAAATACCTAAGGTTACAACTTAAGAAGATGAAGTTTGGTAAGACGTTTCCTAATCATCAAATACCAGAATGGTCGGTTTATTATATGGATTATAAACGATTAAAAAAGATCATTAAACCGTTAGATAATAATCACAACAACGACAGTCTTAATGAAGATACAATACAAACCATACTTGGTACTTTTTTCTTTGAATTGGATAGATATATTGAACAAGTAGATTCATTCTATAATGTCAAACTTATTGAATATTCAAGAAGATTAGAAAAGATTATTACATATACTTCCGAATTATCACCTATTGAAGATGAAGACGATGTTGCTAATATCTTATATGAACTCCAATTAATGTTTAAGAAATTGAAATGGTTTGGTGAATTGAATCATAAAGCATTTATTAAAATTTTGAAGAAATTAGATAAGAAATTATCAACCAGACAAAATCTGACAATTGATGTATCCCATCATAATAAAGAGGTTTATTTGACTACTAGGATTGACGTTTTATCATTTTCTAATGGAACTGAAATTAGAGAAGCATTACAAACTATTGATAAATTGTTAGTACAAGTTGGTTCTTCGTTTGTTCATGATGAGAAGAAAGAAACGGTTGTGAAAATCCCAAGAAAGGGTGATAATGAATTTGCTCAAGCCTTAGGGAAACTCATTTTAATAGACGGTGATATATCTGACCAATTGGAACAATATAAATCCAAATTGTCACATAAGAATATTATTTCATTATTGATTAAAGCTTCATTAGCCAATTCTATCAAGGCAATTGATGAATTATTGAAGCATCTCCAAGAACTCACCTTATTTGATGAATCTGATATTAATGGTAGAAATTTCTTTCATTATTATGTTATTAGTTTAGGTAAACATGGTCAATTATTAAAGAATCAAACAATGGCATCAGCGTCATCAACTGAAAGTTTCATCAAAGATGATGTCGACCATTCACACTTAGCAAATGGATTCATTCACGTATTAGAAACAATGCCAATTGATTCCAGATCATTATTAACCGGAAAGGATCACTATTCACGTACACCCTTACACTACTCCGCACAATATGGATTAGACCTCATCTCCAAACATCTCATCAACTACGTCACCACCTGGAAACTCATCCCCAATCCAACCTCAATCGACGACATCGAAGTCTGGGGAGATCAAGAGAACCTCACCCCACTCCATCTTGCCATTCTTTCAAAACATCCAAAAACAACTCAGGCACTCATATCATCCAACTCCAACATTCCATTAACATGTCATGATCTTCTCCTTCTAGCCATCCCCCTTAATTCAATCAGCATCATCCAAGCATTGATCACTCAAGGAAATATTCTGGTTAATTATACAAACCCCGGTCCAAATTATCATAATGAATCAGCCTTATATATCGCATGTAAACTAAACTTCCCCGGGATTGTCGAATATTTACTCGATCAAAATGCCGATCCCGAAATTGGTGAGAATGTCTTCGGTTGGACTCCGGTATTTGTGGCTGCTAGTGAGGGATATATCCAAATCGTGAAATTATTAATCGGATATGGATGTGAGGTAGATATAGTTGATGATTCCGGTTGGTTACCTGCCGAACATGCATGTTTGAGGGGACATTTGGATGTGGCTGATTTGGTGATGCCAAAACAACCCGGATTGTTAAAGTATGATATGTATCATCCTGATCGAAATTTGAAAAGAATTGTTTCGCAGAGTGTGAGTAGTGAGAGTGTGAGTAGTATTGAAAGGAGACCGGGTGATCATAATAATGTGTTGCTGATGTATCTGGTTTTGAGAAATTCTGGGAGTTCGGTAGAGGGATTGAATAAGAAGAATATGAAGCCCGTTAAATCTTTTGGACATAGATATTTGAATGAAGATGAATCAATGATTTTGATTACCTTGGGTACGTCGGATACTAGAGATAAATCATCCCCAGTAGAATTGAATAAAGCGACCTTGCCAAAGAGTTATATCAGTGAATTAGAAACTGCACTTTCATTAGAAATCACTTGTCGTCATCATATTACAAATGAAGAAATGGAGCCACCCGTTGTTGTCGACCTCCCACTCCAGGACCATCATGGAAGCGCCACCGATCCAATTAAAGTCACTCTCAAAAACCACGTTCGATCAGCTGATGTATATCTTACATTTGATTTGATTCCCACCTATCAAACCGCCACTCCCAAGATTCTCGCTCGCGCAACCTCGATTCTCGAACATACATACACCCCAGTCGGACCCCATCTCACCTCCCTCCACAAAACCATCACCGTGCCCCTCCTCCATACCGGAAATCTTTCCATTGCCGGCTTGGTCCGATTCCAACACCTCGAAATCCTCCCATTCACCCATCCCGCCATGACACCAATTAGATCAGACACATATTGGAAACAACTAGTTCTGACCCGAGTGATTGGACATCGGGGATTGGGAAAAAATGATCACCCGCAATTAAGAAAATCATTACAATTGGGTGAAAATACTGTTGAATCATTCATTGCGGCTTCGAGTTTAGGTGCTTCATATGTTGAATTTGATGTACAATTGACGAAAGACTTTGAGGTGGTTGTATATCATGATTTCACGGTTGCTGAAAGTGGGGTGGATATTCCGATGCATTGTTTGACATTGGAACAATTTCTTGGATTGAATGGTGGTAGTGGAAGTGGTGGTACTAAGAATGGTGGTGGCAGTGAGAGGAGAAGAAATTCGGTGGATGATATTTCGTTATTATCGAATCGAAAACCAAGATCGAAATCTTCTCAACAATTATCATCGAATGGGTTTGGATTTGGGATGTTGGATTCGAATAAAGATGAAGAAGATCGGAAACTTGATCGAGAAGTTGAGAGTCAGATGAATGCCAGGATGAGATTAACCAAGACTTGGAAAGATAAAGGATTCAAAGGAAATACGAGGGGAACATCCGTGGCATCTAATTTCGCCACACTTAAAGATTTATTCCGTAAGATTCCCGCCAATGTAGGTTTTAATATCGAACTCAAATATCCAATGTTGGATGAAGCTGAAATTGAATCCATGGGAGAAATCGCCATCGATATTAATCATTATTTAGATACGGTATTAAAAGTGATCTATGATGAGAATGAAAAAGTCAAAAGAGATATTTTATTCAGTTCTTTCCATCCAGATATATGTCTCTTATTATCATTAAAGCAACCCACTATTCCAATCTTATTCTTAACTGAAGCCGGAACTGCGCCTATGGCAGACATTAGAGCTGGTTCATTACAGAATGCAATTCGGTTTGCCAAGAAATGGAACTTGTTAGGTATTGTATCTGCAGCAGGAACATTAGTTAAAGCACCTAGATTAGCACAGGCTGTTAGATCTTCTGGACTCGTTTGTGTTAGTTATGGGGCGGAGAATAATGATCCTGAGTTGGCTAAGGAACAGATGAAGGCAGGTGTGGATGCTGTTATTGTGGATAGTGTTTTGGCGGTGAGAGAAGGATTGAGGTGTGAGATTGAGGCGTTGAAGGATTTAGAAGATAGATTTTTAGATTTTGTATTATAAATTAATTTGTAGTTTGTATTTATTGTTTTTTGCAATTGATTTCTCAGTGATTTTGCAATTGGAGAAAAAGTTCACCGAACGGAAAAGTCAAAGCAAAAAAAAATATGGGGCACTTTTCTTTCTGCATATTCTTTACCAGTTCAACCGACAGAGAAACTCATAATTATACTTCAATTGTGAAAATGAGTGACAATAATGAGAATAAACAACCTGTTTTTAACAAACCAACACAACGAGCTTCACCCGGTATCCATGCAGTACATGTAAATTCAGCCAGAGAAATGGTCAAACTTCACACGCTGGGCAGACGCCCACCAGCTCCAGCAACTTCCGCTATGCCCAATACATCAAGACCAGCACCCACTCCAACTGCCTCCTCCATGGCATCATCATTCCCACTGACCCCATCATCCACTCATTATCACCTTCAACATAATTCCAAAATATCAGTTCCTTCAGATTGTAAGAATCCACAATGTGCTCATTGTGGAAAAGTAGTCATCCCAGCACCACAATCCTCATTCCCCATTCAAGATGTCCCTTCTATAACCGTAAACAATTGGAATATCTATACGATCAAAAAACCAATCCTTAATTCCCAAGAACTAGATTCCTTGGAATCACGATATGAATTCCCATTACCCGAGATGATCTTTGGGAATAATTTAGTCAAACTTGTGAATAAACCCACGGGAGGCAGTATTGAATTCAATGCATTAGATGCGTTAGATTCATTGGATGATGAGAGTCATTTAAAAGTGAGTTATCATGAACTGTGGCTTGAATCGAGGAGGAAGAGACAGGCTAAAAGTAAGATCGAGAAAGATATTAGTGATTTGACGGAGAATAATGATGTGGTGTTAAAGCCTTATGATTGGACATATTCACCTAATTACACCGGGACTGTAAGGAATTTAGAATTTAAGGAAACGGATGAAGATATCCCGATTGAGAAATTAAAACGACCTGATCCGATTTTGTTTTTTGATGAGTCAATTTTATTTGAAGATGAATTGGCGGATAATGGGATTCTGATGCTTTCATATAAGATAAGAGTAATGCCTAGTTGTTTGTTATTATTGGTTAGGTTTTTCCTTCGGATAGATAATGTGATTTTTAGAGTTCGGGATACGAGAGTCTTCATTGATTTTGAAAATGATTTGGTAATGAGAGAAATTAAATTACAAGAATTCCCTTATGATGATTTATTAAAGAAAGCAACAATGGCAAAAATTGGAAATGATCCTAAGAAATTCTTAAGGGATTCGGATTGGGTATCAGCAAACATTCCTGTGATTAGTAAAGTTGTAGAAACTAACAAATAGACTCCCATTCTTCTTTATTTAATAAATAGTAATAATTATCACCATACAGGCTGTATAGTTCTAAAATGGAAGCGCCGCATATCAGTTACCATTCAGATTGAAGAAAAAAAAATTTTTTTTTTCACCAGTTTAGTTGTAAAAAGAAGAAACCAGTTGAAGACAGTACTTTTTGAAAAGGGGTCTAAATAAAACATTAACAAGTCATGTTCACATCAAGTAGGCAAGCTGCCAGACACTGCACCCCAATATGCAAACAGTACTTTAGATCTGTACATACTGTTCCTAGATTAACTCAAAAAGTTGATGCAGGTATCAACGGTCTTTATTCCCAAGAACAAACCAGAATGGCTTGGTTTGACTATCAAGATTATCTCGTTAAGAACTTAACCCTTTTGACTAATGGTACTGCCAATGAAACCAGAAGTCCTTATCAAATCTTACTTAATACTGCCAAACAACCAGTCAATCAACATGTATTCCATTATGCATCTCAAGCACACAACAATCATTTCTTCTTTGAACAATTGGCAAATAAAGAAGAAGCACAATTAACTAGACCATCCAGATTCATTATGGATAGATTGATACGTAATGACATACCTGATATCAGTGTTCTCAAGGAAAAGATGTTGACATTGGCTGAGAATTCAGTTGGACAAGGATGGGTGTTTTTAGTTGAAACCCCTTATAAATCATTCCAAATAATTAAATGTAATAATGATGGTACACCATACTATTATGGAAAGAACCAATCATTGGACTTGAATGGTGGTGTTGATGAAAGTGCCTATCAATATTTAGAAAACTTGAAAGAAAGAGCTGCCAAGAGAGAACGTGATTATAATTTACCAATTTTGGCTATAAGTTTTTGGGATCAATCATATATTAAAGATTATGGTCTTGGAGGTAAGAAAGAATATTTGGAAAGAGTATGGGATTGTATAGATTGGAATGTTATTAACAAGAGATTCTTCCAAGTTTAAGATCTAAAAAGTTTTGTATATAATTCATATAGATTGGTCATTATAATCATTAAAATCAACTTGTAATTAGAAGAATAAAAGTATCAATCAGTTAGATTGAAACCAAGTTCATTAAACTCAAGAGCAAAGAGTTCTTGAGTTGTACAAACTCCTATTGTCTCAGCATTTATAATCAGTTGTAATTTCTTCAATCGTTGTGAATATTTATCACAATCATTCATTATACCAAGTAATACTGGATCTTCATACCAATTGATAGGTAAACTACTTATCATAAGGGTAATCACATCAATTAATCTATCAAGATATCTCCAATTATTTACAAGTTCAATTACTTGCATTCTATTACCAGACCCTTCCTCCACTTTCAGTTCCTTCAAATCAACATATTCTTGATTACTTTCGTGTAATTCTACATTCAATTCATTTGATAATTTAAGTAATGGCAGGATTTGTTCACTAATCAATTCTCCCAATTCATACCATTGATCAATTTGTTTCTCTTCTTTTTCTTGAGCATTCTTTCGTTGTTTAAGAAGTTTAAATACTAAACCATCTTGTTCATCATACAATGTCTTTAATTTTGACAATATCACCCTTTCTGAATCTGATAAGAATTCAGAATCATGTTGATATATGGAACGAAGTATTGGTAATGTCATTAATAAATATCGATTTAATAATTTATCAGTTTTGATTGAATCATTTTGAGTTTTAAGAAATGTTTCTAATGATTCATCATCATGAATATATGGATATTTAGCTCTAATTGAATCAACTAGGATTCTATCTATTGGCTCATCATCTATTTCTTTAAGTTTATTCAAATACATTATCTTATTAACTTTATGAGTTAATTGTTGATACTGGGTATAATATTCATTCTCTAATTGACGCGTCTTTGATTGTCTTATATCTTGAGATGTTGATATACCAATCTTAGGTATACCATAAGTATGTGATAGTATGGAAGTCGTGTCTAACAATGAATCACACGCATCGCCTAATTCCTCTGACATTCTGTTGGTTAGTCTCTTTTTCTGTTGACCTTCTGAAGTAATCAACAATAAATTTCATCCCGATCTTTAAATCTCTTTGATCTCCAAATATCCAAACAATATACAGGGGTGAGAACAGCAAAAAATTAGAACAGCCATCAACTTTTAAGATTCATTAAACCCTTTGGTTAGAACCCAGTAAAAAATCAATAACCATCATATCACATCACAGTACAATGACTGATCCAACGTTAATTAAGAAGAAATTATTATTAATTGCTCAATCGGGAACATTTGCTAATTTCAATCCTCAACAATTGAAATCTCTTTATGAAGAATTAAATGAATTCTTAATATTTCATAAAGATTCTTTAGATTCAATTGAATTATTTAATTTATATGAATTAGAATTTTATCTTTGTATATTAACTAATCATGATATAGAAGCCAAAGCAGTAATAGATCGATTATTAGATCAATTTGGTAAAACTGCTTCTTCAAAATCTCAAAGAATTAAAGTATTACAATCAATTTATTATGAAGCTTTAGGTGATATTCAATCTGCTAGCAAATTATTAACTCAACAACCTGATGAATTAAACCTTTCTAGAAGATTGACAACTTTTAGTAGAAATAATGCCAATGAATTGGATAATGATAATTATATTCGTAATTTAATTTATTATTTAGATCTACAACCAAGTGATTTGATGACTTGGGCTGAATTAGCTAATGAATATCAAAAAGTTGGTCATTATGATAAATCAATACATTGTCTTAAAGAAATATTATTACATGAACCAAATGCATATCCAATATTTTATAAAGTTGGTTTAGTTAGTTATTATAAAGCATTACAAGAGATTCATCANCATTATGATAAATCAATACATTGTCTTAAAGAAATATTATTACATGAACCTAATGCATATCCAATATTTTATAAAGTTGGTTTAGTTAGTTATTATAAAGCATTACAAGAGATTCATCAATTAAAAAGTGAGAAAAAGGATAAATTATACGCTGTATTAGAAACCATAATTAATTCTCGTGATAATTATCTTGCTAGTATTGAAATTAATGATAAATATGTAAAAAGTTGGGTTGGTTTGTTTATGATAACAAAATTACCATTTAATGAGAAATTATCCAAATTGAATGATAAAGAAGTCAAAGATTACTTGAGCAATAATGAAAAGTTAAACAAATTAGCTACTGCCAAATTAAAGGAATTCAATGTCGATTTATCAAATGTAGAAATAGATAAATAGACATAAGATCGATAAATATACGTAAATTAATCTCCTATTTAAATACTACTTACTTTTTCATATTGAGTCATCTATACTTAAGAACCTATACAATCACATTGTTCTTTGGAGGGACATTCACATTTTGGCGAGCAATCGCATCCTTTGCCTGGACAATGACAGGATTCCCTGGATTCACATTTACAGCTTGGATTCTTACAGTTGCAACCTTTTGGAAGTGACATTTTTAGATGTTCTAGGATTGATAACTACAGGGAGATAATGGGAAGTACTTACTTCCACGGAATTGTTCTAAGCTTTATAGGAATTGTAGGATTCGATGAAAGGAGATAAACACCGCAACAATTGCGGTTTATTGTAAATATGGCGGGCAGCCCCATGACTGTTAATATTTCTATTTAGCAATGGTTGCGACTGAAACTGTTACCTGGGAATATACCCTCGGACGGAACATCCCGACAATCGCAATGCTTCACCCCAATAGATTTTGTACTATATTGGATCAAAGTAGATTCAAATTATGGTCTGGGCAGGTCAAGAGGTCTAGAAAATGACCGAACCCTCGTAGAATTATTTCTACAACAAGTAGAGAAAAGTAACTAGCTTAGACTTGAGATTTATTAACTTCAACCTATAAACCTATTCATAGCATAAAACCTATCTTTCAAGTAAGGTAACAAAAATCTTGAGCATCTTGAACTATCAGTAGGCTATTATTATTATTCAGTTAATCATCATTTACCTTAGTGACACAGTCACACTTATCCTTTGATGGACACTTGCAATCTGGTGAACATTGACAAGCTGGGTTTTCTGTAAAGTTAGTTAAATTGTGATGCATTTTGTATATGTAATTTCTTGGTGATCTAAAGAAAGGGAAATATGGGGATGTGGTACAGTCCTGGGGTATTTATAGATTTTCTTTGTTGGGCTGTGCTTGCTTTCAGATTCTAATGATTTAGTTCGATTGAGCTATTATATATCTTGAATTTGCTCTTTATCTGCAATATTTTAAGAAACCTTCAGTTGCATGTTTGTCATTGTTTCTATGTAGTCTCACCTATTTTTAATGGGTTGCAATCATTTCCTTCTTTGTTCTTGTCATAGATTTTTTGCAGCAATCAAAGAAAAAATGCCGCAATCAGTATGAAGCAAATTCACAACCGCAGGAACAGCAAAATGGAATGAGTAATTTGACATGTTCCATCATTACGTCATGCCAAAAGAAACCTTATAGCATTCTCTTCAGTCACTCCGGATTCAGATACTCCTACCTTTGTTTTTGAACTTAGGAGCTTGATCAGGCAATACGCTGCATAACCCTGAAGGATGTTTATATTGCTCAAGTGACCTTTTTATGCAATTGCGTCAAGACAGAAGAACAGGAAGCCTAAAGCTATAGATAATGAGTTTATATTGGCATTTTGTTAGTCCTTTAGTAGCCACAACGGAGCTGTACCAACCGGACCAAAGAGCCCAACTGAAGCGACGCAAGTTTCGGAGTTTATATTTTGATTAATATGCAAAAAAACACCTCTCTAAACTGGAACCAAACATTGAGCCAAAATTGTCTTTAGTATAATAACTGATCTTAAGTCCGAAAGGTGCATATTCATTAAGAATCACCAAAAATGGTGGTCGGACCCATAAATATCAGTTAAAATTGCGCTTTTCCAAGCATAAGTGCATAAAAAATAATTCGACAGGAAAATACGTTATTAAGCGAAGAAAATAGTGTGCATGATGATATGAAAAAAGAGACGACATTTACTAAACTCTTTCTCTAAAATATGTTCGGTAATCAACGGATCAAGGTATACATTTGTGTTGTTAATTAAATAATTTTATGTTCTATGATTTATTAAAATAATTGATAATTTAAAGTACAAAATTGTATACAAATAAAAATAAAAATAATGCCAAAATATGTTTTGAGGGAAAGTTTAGAATTCACCTTTATAGTTCAAATCTTCTTGTAAGACGTCATCTAAAATACCAGAAGCAGCAGCAACCAAACCTAAGAATGGTCTTGAAGGATCCAATACTTTAGATAAATATTCTGGATGATATTGAGTACCAGTGAAGAATTTATGATCTTTTAATTCAATCATTTCCATTCTCTTTTCAGATTCATCTTTACCAATGAATTTCAATCCATGAGATTCAATTTCTTCAGTTAACAATGGATTGACTTCATATCTATGTCTATGTCTTTCATAAACGGCATCAGCATCACCATATAATTTTCTTAATTTAGACCAATGAGAATCAGCAACAAATTTAGTGGCATGAATACCTAATCTCATTGTACCACCTAATTTAACTTGATCAACATCTGGCATATAAACAACAGAAGCATCCTTTTCTTCAATAGTCTTATCAAATTCCATAGAAGTAGAACCTTCTTTACCTAATACATTTCTAACGAATTCGATAACAGCAACCTGTAAACCTAAACAGACACCCAAGTATGGAATATCATTTTCACGAGCATATTTGGCAGCAGCAATCATACCTTCAATACCACGAGAACCGAATCCACCTGGAACTAAAATACCGTCTGCTTGACAAACATGATGCCATGCCTTGTGATACTCTGATAAGTTGGTGTTTCTAATTTCTTCTTCTAAATTAGAAGATTCAACCCATTCGATTCTTAATCTTCTATGACATCTCATGGAAGCATGTTCCAAGGATTTAATGACTGATAAATAAGAGTCATGTAAATGAGTATATTTACCAACAAGGGCAATAGTAACAGTTTCAAAAGATTTATCATGACTGGTAGTTAATTGTCTCCATTTGCTTAATAATTGTTCACCTTTAATAGCAGCTTCTTTAGGGACTTGACCAATAGTCAATTTCTTAGTCAAATATTTCATCATCTTTTGTTGTTTTAATAATAATGGAACATGATAAGTTGAATTGACATCATGAACAGCAATAACTTGTTCAGGACCAACATGACAGAACATACCGATCTTTTCAATAGTAGCAACTTGTAATTCTTCTTGACATCTACAAGCAATCATATCAGGGGTTAAACCCAAAGATCTTAAGTCCTTAATGGCAGCTTGAGTTGGTTTAGTCTTTTGTTCACCGTGGATAACTGGAACTAAAGAAACGTGAATCAAGGCAAAGTTATCAGTACCGACTCTGAATTGGAATTGTCTTAAAGCTTCAACGAATGGAGCAGATTCAATATCACCAACAGTACCACCCAATTCAATAATACATACTTCTGGTTCTAATCCGGTGTCATCGACTGGAATTCTAGAAACACGTTCAATCCATTCTTGAATGGCATTAGTGATATGAGGAACGACTTGAACAGTCTTACCTAAATAATCACCATTTCTTTCCTTTTCAATAACATGAGAATAAATCTTACCAGTAGTAATATTATGATTTCTAGTTAAGGTAATGTTTAAATAACGTTCATAATTACCTAAATCCAAATCAACTTCACCACCATCATTTAACACGAAACATTCACCATGTTCCAACGGAGACATAGTACCTGCATCAATATTCATGTATGGATCAATCTTAATGGAAGTAACACGTAAACCTAAGGTTTTAAGTAATAACCCAGTAGAAGATGCAATGACTCCCTTACCGATACCGGAAATAACACCACCAGAAACAACAACGTATTTCATCTTTTCGCTTTATAGATTATAAATGTAACTTTTGAGTAGTTTTAAGAGGTTAAAAGAAGGCTATTGAATTGTTTTGACACGTCTAGGATTTGAATTCTATATGGAAGAAAAACACGTCAAAATTTTTATGAATTGGGAAAATGGTTTAAAAAGGATGTTTTTATCTATCAAGGTTGATTAGATGGTTTAATATATATACAACTTTGCCCTCTTAAATATAGTGATTTAAGCGGGAAGAAGAAAGAAACATAAACCAGTAGGAAAAAGAAACATTGAAATTTTTTTACTTTCATGGCGAGATTGGTTTCCCACGAGAAGAGAAGAGAAGAGAAAGAGATGAGCCAAGGCGAGAAAAAAAAAGCCACGCGCGAAGAGATGATTTCATGTAGATTTCCCGATTAGGAAATAATATGTACCGATCACGTTCATATGCTTCTTGGATTATTTTGTTTGCTAAATTATACACCATCAATCAAAAAGACATGGGGATAAACTAAAAATTGTCTTTGAGGTACCTAGATTTAGCAGATAATGAAAATCTTAACTTGATATGTGCCATTCCTTCATCCAAATGAAGGATGAAGGAACCGGTCTTATCTTACAAATGACATAATCATTGAAGACAAAGACTCCACGGCAAAATCGTCTACTCTATCTTCTAATAAAATGCAGTAAAATTTATTAAACATTAAAAAATCTCTATACAATCTTCACCCCTCCAATCTCATTATTCTCATCCATTAATATTTGGGCTTTACCCAATTTCATTAAATGTCCTTTAACAATCTTAATCAAAAATTCCTGATCTAAATTCTTTAAACTCTCAGGTAACCCACCATCTTCACTCTTTGTCAACTCATAAATTGTCAAAATTGTTCCTAATTGACCAGTATCATCTATATGACTATATAACAAATCACCCCAATCAACAAGAGATCTCCAATATATGAAAATACCTAATTCCGGTTTCTTTGGATTTATATATTCAGCTTTTTTGTTTTTATGAATTAATGTAGAAAGAATTAGAGATTTGAAATCATGATTGACTTGTCTGCTAATGGTCTTGTTTTCGAATAATCGAGGAAGTGATGTAACGTCCACTAATAATTGAGAATGTTTCGGTAGTCCTTCGATTGTTAATGTTGTTATTTTGTAATATTCACAATATTGTAGAATAATGTTACACCATGATTCAAGTTGCTGTGATAGAATGGTAGAGTTCGGTTGTTTTGTATAAAGTGGTGGGAACGCATGGATCTTTGGAAACTCAAATTCCGGCGTTGTCATAGTTGATTTGCTTATGTATAATCGTAATGCTTGTTATAAGTGTTAAATCGAGTGGACAATTCATATTGATCTCTGGGTGCGCATTTTTTGTGGGCTGGCCGCGGGGGCGTACACTCGCCAGCTTAGAAAAGAGAGTGTGAAAAATGAACTTAATAACAGGGGCAAGATGGCTCCCTAACTACAATGTTGAAGTGTTTCATTAATTATGTTAACCGTGAATTATGCTGTGTTTTATTCCTATCTTCATTAAAAAGATGTTTATCAACCAAAACTAAAAATACATTAGATATTAAGATATATATATAAAAGATAATAACTTAATTTAAGCTTCAGCTAATTCTCTTAAACGACGGATGGTGGATCTGACGGTAGCGGCAGCGGCAGTAGAGACAGTGTAAGCACCACCAGCAACGGTCTTCTTACAAGACTTACAGTTCCAGATACCAGTGGCACCTCTTTGAACGGTTCTCTTACCACAGAAAGAACAATCGTACTTGGCGTGTTGTTGGACTTCCAACTTCTTGGTTTGTCTTCTTAAAGAAGAACCATATCTGACACCGAATTTACCAGTAATTCCAACCTTCTTAGTTCTTTTAGTCCTATAATGTAAATGTTAGTATTATTGTTCAATTTGAAGTATTATTCCCCAAGGCATGTAAAAGATTTGATAAAAGGATAAACACTCTACTCTCTTTGATTATTATAGTAGATTCCATGTGACTTGAATGTTGCAAAATAAGTTATGAATTAAAGCTCGGCACAGGAAGTGATGACCCAAGCTACGTGTAGTTGCAATAGATAAAATCATAGTACTTCTAGAATTTCCACAATAAGATCGTCTGACAATGTATCAAGCTCATGTCTCTTATCGATCTTTTAAGGATAATCTTTTGACAAGTCCTTTGTTTCTCATATAGTTGAAGTACATGTATGTTTGGTCGTAGTCGTTTAAAAATTTTTCAATAATATTCTCGCATAAATCGATGGCTGTTTCCGTTCATACAGATTGTCGTTGCCTGCCTTCCCTCCTTTACATTAATCATTGCCTTCTGGGGACTTCCATCTTTCATATCTATGTTATCACATACATTTTTGTATAGTAAGTATAGGGTATTAACAAGACCTAAAAGAAAATGAAAAACTTCGTTAATATAAAATTTTTTTGGTTAGTCAAACTCACTGAGCTTTTGGAAAATTAATTGAGGTTAATATGCAGGTAAACCAATTTTGTATGAGATACTTCGCACAATACTTTTAATGTTAGTGTTCACTCACTATAAGACAATTTGTTAGTGGGATTTTTTTTCGTTTGGCGTGCACAACTCAAAAAGGATTTTTTCTGAGAAATCCTTTGTCACGTGAAATTTGAGTACTTCTAGGGCACCAACCCTCAATTTGATGCCTCAAAAACGTTTTTAAAGCTTATCGCTTATCTAGAAATTATTATATTAAAAAACAATTGAACGAAATTAACAACCAACCAACATCCCTTTTTTTGATAAAAGTGGTAACCAAACCATGAGTCAACCGGAAGAGAATTCACACTGTATTACGATTGGATCATTACTATCAGTTGGTCCATCCATAAGTAAGTTAATTAACAATGCAATTTTTCTCTAGGCTGCGATGTCATACAAATATTTTGCAACCATTACAAAGATAACAAATTATTAACATTGAATAGCAACTAATTCACTTAGTTTTGACCACGCATTTGCTGTTACTAATTCAATATTGATGGAAAGAGAAGATGAAAATGATAATGATAATTTCGATGATTATACTCCTAGATCGATGTTAAATCATTTCAATACTGTTGCAACTACCGCTGAAATTAATTCAAATATATTCACAAATTCTTCCTTATCAAATCTGTTAGAATTATTAATTAGAAGATCAGTTAATGAGGCAAATGCTGAAGAGATTAGAGAAGTTCAAAGAAGTTCAAGTGATGGTAATATAAATTCATTCATTAATTATTCAGAAATTATTCAAGAGTCCTCCAATTCAGCTATAGCAACTACTACTCCAATACAGAGTTCTATATCCAGGAAACGTCAATTATCAAAGAATACAAGTTGTGAATTAATACATAAGCAATCTAAAAGATATAATAGCATCAATGATGATAAAGCTGCTGTCAATGAGACTAACATCAATAAAGAAAATATTCATCCTTCTAGTGATTCCCTACTATCTGAAATTGATGATTCAGTAAAAGCTGAACTTGAAGTTCTATTTCCTAACTCCAGTGCTTCTCAAAATAATAGCTTCCATCCCATAAACTCGCTCAATCTTCATACTCCTACCGATCCAACTAATTTCTCAAACAAGGGATATCTTGCCATATTAGCTCGTGAATCTTCTATAAGAATACCAGAATTTGTCGAATGTTTAGATTACAAACTTAATAATCTCTAAAAATAAAACGCAATAAAATCTTCATTAGAATAAATTATATAGAATAATAGAATTAGATATGTATATAGTATATTCATAATACCTTATGCACTGCTCCTTAATAAAGGCACATAAAATTTTATCAAATCAAATTTAAATCCCAATTTTATTAAATTACCGTGTACGTGGAAAAAGATCAACTTGTTCCATTTCAACATCTTCATCATCATCATCCTCATCTATCAAAGGTATATTTTGATTATCTCCATTAGGAAAAACAGCAGGCTGAGTAATTTGGGGAGCATTCTGAGGATTAATTCGTTGCTGCTGCTGTTGTTGTTGACGTTGGCTCGGTTGTTGCGGTTGTTGTTGAGTAAACTGACGGAATTGGGTTGCTAAAATATTCTCTGTATCTATATGATCAGTCCAAACCATGCGGCCAAAATTCTCTCTCATTGCTTCAGGAGTTATATTTCCTTCTACAGCTTCTTGGAAAAGTTGTCTATTGAGATCTTGACGTAATTGCCGTTGTTGTCGTTGTTGTTGAAGTTCAACTGGCGCTTGTGCACGTGGTTGTGGCTGTCCCTGTGCGGGCTGTTGTTGATCATTAAGCAATAATCCTAATCCACCCTGTCTTGCCCAAAGATGATTCAATTCTTCAGTATCAGCTTCGATAGTATTAGCCAAATCAGCTCCATCTAATAATCTTCTCCTTCTTCTTTCAAGAAGAAATGCTCGGAAATCAGCCCCTTCAACAGGGTGGGCTCTTTCTTCCATAGCTGAATTCAAATAGTTACGTAACTGAGAAACTCCATGACCACTGAAAACACAAAATAAGCTCCGTTGATGTTCATTAAAATCAGGTGGTGGGTCACGACAAAATTGAGTAATTTCTCTTCTTAAAAATGCTGATATACCGGTAAGTGATAAATGTGTTAATTTTGGACAACTTTTCAACAATAAATAAATCGGAGCAACAGTTAAATTCGTACAATATGATAAATGAACACGTTCAAGACAATCCTGTTCACCTCTTCTTCTAACTAATTCTAATATACCCGAATCAGTAATTAATGAACATTTAACAAGACCAATTCTTCTTAATTTTGGTAAATTTGCCAATTCAACCAACGTCCAATCAGTTAATTGTGAACAACATGCTAAATCAATATATTGAATTCTATGACAATATCTCACAAGTGATGAAACTCCATAATCGGTGATTAATCCACAATGACCTAAATGAATATAATGCAAACTTCTCCCTAATTGACTCAAGGCTCGTAATGATGCATCAGTTATTTGCATACATTTAGACAACACCACATTTCTTAATCTTGGAGCACATTGAACTAATTTCTCTACTAATTTATCAGTGATGGCATTACAACCGGTTATATCAATAATTCTTAATTTTTCGAGATAGAATCCTTCTGGGATCAATTCAAATAGTTTATCAGTTATTCCTGGTGCATTGCTAATTCTAAATTCTCGTAGTTGTGTTAATTCCAAAAATATTTGTTTAAGATATTGATCAGTAACCAATTCACAACCATGTAAATCAATTTCCACTAATGATTTACAATTTTCATACATTGCTAATATACTTTCATCGGTGATATGATTACTTGAATTAAACTTAATTCTTTTCAACATTGGACAAGATCTTAATAAATTAATTATTGCTTGTTCGGAAACATTACCACATCCAGGGGCATATAATCCTTGTAACCTTGGACAATTTTCAGTTAATGCATTAATGATATCATCATGAATATCAGTTACACCTGTTAAATCGATTGATTGTAATCGTTCACAATTCTGTAATACTTGAGTTATTGGAGTTCTAGTTAATTTTGCACAATTAACCAAAGTTAATCTTTCCAATTTAGGACATCCAACAAATAAAGTTAATAATTCATCATCAACAAGTTTGGTCATAAAGGAAAGATTCAATCTTTTTATAAATTGCCTATAGTCCCAATGGGTTTTCTCTCGTGGTATTGCCATTACTTTTCTGATTTGTTTGAATGAAATATCATTTTGCATATTGGGACGAAACCATAAGATTTCAATAATCAAATCAGCAATTTCTTTACAAACTGTTAATAGATTAAAAAGATCCTTTCTATCCAAATGATGAAATATTTGTAATAAGATTTCTGTAGGTAATATTAATAATGAATCCATAGGAACAACTGATTGGTTCCCATTTCCATATAATGCTGATCCTTGTTGAGGAATTCGTTGAAGGCTAGATGCTCTTCTCTTCACCACAAGAGATCTTCTTAATTCTTCATAATCATTACCTTCATTATCCATTTCAAAGTCATTATAATGGTGATTATTATACGCGCCATTACTCAGATGACCTCCATTATTGTTGCCGTTGCCATTGTGGTTGATGTTGTTTATTCCAGGCAGCAACGTCTTAGTTGGACTGTTGTGATTTGAATATTCTTCTAGACTAGTGGGAGAACTCATGTTAGGTATTATTGATGATGACTTATAGAATGCAAGTGAGATGGATGAGGTGTAATTTATTTGTGTTCAGAAACGCCCTTTTTGTGGTATTTACGAAACACACACTTTATGCTTTGATTGATTGACGACAGATAAAATGCCAGAAATGCTCTTTGGATTGTTGATGACTAAAAAAAATAAATCCGTTAGATGATGGGTGGCGGAAAATATGGTAGGTAGGTAGGAAATGATGTCTGTGGTATGATATTGTAAAACTTCCCGTTTATACTTGAAATGGATGATTTTTTTTCTTTTTGAGAACGATTCTTATAATAATATGAGTGAATCAATGCAACTGTGTAATATTTGCACTAGGATATTCCAATTTCTATCGTTGTCTCTTGTATAAACAAATTGATATCTAATAAAAAGGTGGTTAAGGGCAAAGTAAAATTTATGTGTAGGGATGACAGTTTATACAATTATTATAGTTAATTTTAGGTTGGAGGGTTGGAAGGTTAATTGGATTTTCTGGGCTTGGTAATAAAATTTAAAGTTTTGGTTTCGAGTAGCACACGACCAGATATAAAATTTGTTTATAATCAAGAGTTTTCTGAGTCCTAAATTAGGCAATCGGAAGATAAGTTTCTCTTTATCGATTAAATATCAGCAAATTCTTGAATCTGATTTGTGAATCTTCCTGTGACGGAGATTTGGCAGTTGGGAGAAGGAAGGGCGATATCTCTCAAAATACGCAAGATCGTTCTATACAGCCTGGATGAAATGGCTTGTAGATAAATGACTGTACTATATCAACACCTTGGAGGAAGACTGTTTGGAATATACACTGATTTGCTATATTCTTCTAGAACGTGTATACCTTGGAGTATCGTATATTCTTTCTGGATGGCTAGTTCTCGTCTAAAGGAACCAAAAAGGACGGCTCTGTGGAACGGCAGAAACAAGGATTGATAATCAAATAAACCGAGATTCAACCTAGCCCAATTATAAACTGTAGTACTCTCCAGCTATGCAAATGTCAGGGTACACCAAAATATTTAAACCTCTTGAAATTATAGAGAGTAGTGCTATTCTTTTAAAGTTTTGCAACCAATTTTGTCTTGGTTGTCAAAAAAAAAGGACAAAGAGGGTCGTGTAAAACTCTCAAATTGGTTGTCAAAATACTCATCAAATCTATCCAAATTCATCAAGGTTCAATCATCATCATCATCCCCACTTCAATAGATCTCACCTCCTTAAATAAATACATCTAACAATGTCTGACCTAGCGAGTTATATCCAACAAGTGAATAGAGCCGTACTCAATCAGGATGCAATTACATTAAAAGAATGTCTAACTATCAATCCAGCACGACCACAAGGTGAAATAAGATCCAAATTCCCCGAACCTAGTGACTTCGATCTCTATCAAACCCCCGAGAGATTTGGTGATGTGATTAAGAATTATTTAAAGTTGATGAAAGTTGTATATATTGAGAAATCTTTACAAGGAGCATTTGATTGTTTCAATGAATTAGTGCTTTCATTATTACGAGCTGCTGATAAACATACCAATTGGATTAATGTTCCGGTATTAAATTCTTGTGGAGAGTTGATGTCGGTATATAAAGTGAAAGAAATGAATGATCCTGAAGATCTTGCGATTTTCGAATTTCAAGATATTGAAATGGATATGAATGAACAAATGAAAGTAAAAAGAAGTGGGTTAGAAACTTTATCAATTACTATACATAAAGGTTTCACTACATGTTTGAATGATAAGAATCCTGATTTAAGAAACAGTAAACGAGTTGATGTTTATTATTTTTTAGCTATTTTGATTAGAATTTATTTTAAATTGGGGAAGCTTGATTTAGCAAAATCAGTTCAAAAAACGTTGAATGATACAAGGCTTGAATTACCAAATATGAGAAGTTCAATTTCCAATAAGAAACATTCAATTATGTATCTATACTATTCAGGATTGATGTATTTAGACAATGGTGAATATGTGAAGAGTGAAATAGAATTGAATAAAGCAATGGATATATTGGGGGATTATCAACTGAAGAAGAATAAACAAACACAACAAATAATGATGTTGTTATTACCTTTAAAGTTGTATAATTGCGGGAAATTGCCCGTAAAGAGTTTTTGGTTAAGGTATCCTAATTTGAGAGTTATGTATCGAGATAATATCTTTAAGGCTATACGTGAAGGTAATTTAGCCAAATTTAATGAATGTATGGAAAAATTCCAAACAATATTGTTAACAAATCATTTATATGTCTTGATTGAGAAATTAAGAATGTATTGTCAATTAAGCTTAGTGAAAAAGACATATAATATTGTTAATGAATTTAAACCAAATACATATATTATCGCATTAAGTGCATTTCATTTAGCATTTGAATTTTCGCAATATAATAAAAACAATGAAACACAATTCGATTTTGCCAATAATCATAGTTATAATACAAGTTTAGATGAAATTGAATGTATTTTGGCTAATTTAATTGCACTGAAAAAAGTAAGAGGTTATATTAGTCATGGTAATAGATGTATTGTGTTTGCAAAAGATGGCAATGCATTTCCGAAATTGCTGCAAAGTTAATGAATGCTTTGAAAAAATTATCGGATGTATTTTTGCGCAGAATGGAGGGCGGGGGAGGGGTGGAGGATACGAAGACATAGAGAGAGACAGAGAGAGAGTAGTCGTCTCATACTCTTGCTAAATAAAAGAGGGGAGCAGAACTCGTAGACGGGAATCAATTAGAATATTCCGTCATACGACAAACTCGCTAAGAAAAATAATAGAATGGTAACCCAAAACCAAATATAAGTACGAATTATTATGTACATTTTTGTATAGAGAGCTTGCCATACAATATTCTGATAGACTGAATTTGCAGCCTTTTTAAATCGTAGATCAATATCCAATTGTAATTAATGATATTTGGGCCCGCGTGGGCGTTGTAGTTGTCGCAATACAATAAACGTTGTAAACAGAGCCTGAACAAACAAGACCATAATAAAAATAGAATGAAATAAAAAAATAGGAGTAAAATTAAAAAGAAATCAAACAATGGGAAATATTGCTTTTGTGTAAGTTTTGATTCTGTCTCAATTATTTATTTCCCCAGACAATTGAAAAATAATTTGTTCAAGTAAAATTTAATTCTAACAGTTGAATAGACGATTGTTTTATTAAAAGTGATCGACATACGATTAGCCCATTTTTCTAACAATAATCTTAATTAACATTAACGCTGTTGAGCAAATTTTGTTTATTTGTTAAAATTACAATTCGGCTGAGTTTTTTTCTCATTAATTTACATACATGCATTTGAAGTTTATATTTAGGGGTAAAAAAAAGAATTGGGTCAGTGATAAATGTTTTGACTTTAAACTTTTGTGGTACCACATGATCATTCATTCGCCCCGTCAGTAGAAAGTAATAAATTAATTTTTTTTGTTTTGTACCACTGACCGAGACATTCTCTCTCTAATAAGTCTAATTTTATTTTTTTTTCTACTGCCGACGTCGTTCTATCTAAAATCTTTTTTTAATTTAATTAGACAGCACAGAACTTTATTCCCTCATACAATAAATAGATTTAGAACGGGAAAGAAAGAAACCAAAAAAAGTTCAACAAAATTTCTCTCTCCATTTTTTAGATTTTTTTTTTTTTTCATTTTAGGATTTCAATTAAATTAACCACTTACCTATTAATACTACTTGTTTGTTTCATACACTTATACACTACCTTTTTCTTTATTACCTACTACTACTATTAGTATCACACTTACTATTAATAATTACAACCTTCATTTCATTTGTTGCCGTCTTTTTTTTGTATAATAATTTTTGATTTTGGTGTTTTAGAAGAGTTTTTCATTAGTCCAATCCTTTTAACTTTAACTTTAATTTAATTAATAAATAATCATTTCATTCATTGCATTGCATTTTCCCATTCCTTTTTGACTTCCATATATATATGAAATCACAATGAATAACTTTAATATACCAGAGATCAATGATATCTCACCATCCTTTCAACAATCACTAGTACAAAATCAATCAACCAGAAATAGAAGTAGAGCAGGTACTTTACCATCATCTTTCTTGAGTCCAAATTCAATCCTTAATGGTTACAAGTCCCTATCCAATTCCCCATTGAACATTGCCAATCAAGAATCATTATCTGTCGACTCTATGTCAATGGGATTAAGCAGTGCCGGTGCAACTACATCCTCATCACCTAATGATCAAACTGGTATTGGATCTCGTAATAATACAAGAGTCAGATCAGGCTCATTATTTTCAGCAAATTCAATTTGGAATGATGATAACTTAACTAGTATGCATTCAGATCCAAATAACAATTTCTTGACTCCTATGTTAACCCCATCAAGTGCACAACTGCAACATACTCGTTCAACTTCACAAGTGAATTCTTCTTCAATTGCAACTTCAGCACCAATGGATATCTCAACTAATAATAGAAACAGATCCTATACCACTACAGCAGCAATACCTAGTGTTACTTTCCATTCATTTGCGGATGCCCAACAGCAACAACAGCAACAACAACCTCAACCAAATAGAGTCTTATCATCACCATTTGCCACGGTATCCAATAAGAATACTGATATGAATGCATTACTAGATAATTTAATGATGAATATGAATAGCAATCAATCATCCATACCTAGACATAGATCGCAAACTTATTCGGGTACTACTCCTACAATCCCAGAAGCAAGTTTACAACAACAACAAATCAATTATCAACAACAGCAGCACGCTAATCATTCATATCAGAAGAATTCACCTCCTTCCATCTTACAACATCAACAACAACAATTCCCTCCTGTTATTGAACAACAAAATCAATCGCGTGACCAACCTGTTTTGATTGATGATTTCGACTTTAGTCAATTAATCATCACAACAAATTTTGAAAATCCAAGTTTAGGTCCTACCAAATATCTTTTATTTGATAATTTACCTTTATTCATTGACTCCACCAAGTTATATTCCATATTGGCAAATTCTTTGGGTACTCAAAGATCATTCGGAAATGTTTATAGTATTAGAGTCACAACTACAACTACTTCAAAATTGGCTCTTGTTGAATGTACAACTGTCGACATTGCCATGACATTAAAAGCAAATTTTAATCATTTAGAAATCGTTTCTGGAGTTACTTTATATGTTGCCTTTGCAAAAATTCAATCCGAAACTAATTCAGTACCTCCCCCTGCTATTGTTTCTACTTCAACTATTTCTTCGAATGTGTCAGTTCCACCAGTTCAAGCCCCACAACAAGTCAGTGCAGGTCCTGTGCCTGCTACTACAGCTCATACTGGAGCATCAAATACCGAGAAACCAAGTCCAACTGATATAACAGGAATTCAGCCTAGATTAATCGAAGCAGCAAATACATTATCCCATAATGCCGACGTTAACAAGATTATCTCCATGATTAATAAATGTATTGCATATCCAGATGAAAATTTCCAAGATAATTTTGGCCCCTTACCTGATCCAATTCCATTAAGACAATTTGATTCACCTAAATTAAGAGAATTGAGAAAAGTTTTAGAAAATAATGAAGCTACATTAGCAGGGGGGAATATTAATGGATATTTCATGGAACCTGGAGAAACCATAATGACTCAATTGGAATTAGAAGCCTTATGTCTTGCGATGTTGGATGAATTACCGGAATTATGTTATGATTATTTAGGTAATACCATTGTTCAAAAATTATTCACATTGGTTGAATCTCCCTTAATTAAATTAATGATGGTGAAAGAAATTGCTCCATATTTGACACAATTGAGTATTCATAAGAATGGGACTTGGGCAATTCAAAAGATTATTAATTTATGTCATGAAGATAAACAACAAATGTATCTTATTGGAGCTAGTTTGAAACCATATGCTATCAAATTATTCAATGATCAATTTGGGAATTATGTTATTCAAGGTTGTATTAAATTCAAATCACCATTTAATGATTTTGTAATTGAAGCTATGTTACATCGATTTTTGGAAATTAGTTTTGGAAGATTTGGAGCTAGATGTATTCGTACGATTTTAGAAAGTGCTCATCATGAAGGATATGTTTCTCAAGAACAAGTTTTATTAGTCGCGGGGTTAATTATTGAATATGCTAATGAATTGGTTGTGAATTCAAATGGAAGTTTATTGATTACTTGGTTTTTGGATACTTTCAATGATTCTGAAACAAAGATTGATTTATTGACAAAGAAATTCTTGCCTCATTTGAAATCTTTATGTATTCATAAATTAGCCAATTTAACAATATTGAAAATCTTGAATAATCGTACTGAAACTAAAACAAGACAAATTATTATTGATGAGATTTTTAAACCACAAAATTTGGAATATATCTTACAAGAAAATGAAAATAGTTCAGGTGCTTTATTTATTTATAAAATATTAAGTAATCCAACCTTACATGACATTGCCCAGATTCATATCAATGAAATAAGAAGAATCTTATTAGAGTTACCAATTGTCAATTTCCAAAACTACAAAAAATTAATGGATGAAGTTGGAATTTCAAACCGTGGATTAAATAGAAATGGAAGTAATCCAAACAACATGAAACGTAATAGAAGAATAAGAAATGGAGGTAAACATGACATGTTATATCCTCAAGGACCACAACCAATTCCGATTCCCATGCAACCACAGCATTATTACATGCCTCCCCCACCTCCACAACAACAACAACAGCAACAGCAACAGCAACAGCCTCCACAGCAATATATGCCACAAATGCAACCATATGTCTTGAATGCCCCTCCTCCATATTTGAAACAACAACAGATGTTTAATCCTCAACAAATGCAACAACAGCAACAACAACAACAACAGGCACAACAGGATATGATGGTCATGCAACAATTGGAACAATTATCATTGAGTTCTGCAGCATTGGGATATAATTCAAATCCAGGTACTCCAACTATTCAAAGAGAGCTGTATATGCAATAAAATTTAAAACATAGGTGAACGTATGACATGAAAATTTGTTTGTCTTTTTTTATTTTGGTTTTGTTTATTTAAAGTTTTTTACGTATTTATATATCTTATATAAAATGAGTTTTTAGTTAGTAATGTGTAATAGATAATTTTCATAATTTAGTATAAATAGTTGATGGAATAGATTAAATTGCAGCCATTTCGGTATTAAAGTAGGGGGACGTGCGGTGGCAAATATACAAATCACGTGCTCAACTCATTGGAAAAATTTTCCAGTTTTCCACTACTCATACTGAAAAAGAATCGTACAAATCATATTTGATTTATGAATGGTTCATTAAACACACACTTGATAGCAAGAGACCAGTATACGAAAATGTCATTTATAAATATCTGTCGTGATAATACGGATCCTTTCTACCGTTATAAGATGCCTCCAATTCAGTCCAAGACTGAAGGTAGAGGTAATGGTATCAAAACTGCCATTGTCAATCTTGCTGAAGTTGCTCGTGCCTTAAATAGACCACCCGCATATTTAGTCAAATTCTTTGGGTATGAATTAGGTGCTCAAACTCAAATTGGGGAAAGATTTTTGGTTAATGGTGCCCATGACACTAATGAATTACAAGATTCTCTTGATGGATTCATTAATAAATTCGTCTTGTGTGGATCTTGTAAGAATCCAGAAACAGAAATTGTCTTAAAGGGTAAAGATTCTTTAGAAAGAGATTGTAAAGCATGTGGTAAAATAACTCATATTGAACCAAAACATAAATTATACGCATATATCGTCAAGAACCCACCTGAAAAGAAGGGTAAGAAATCAGCAACTGCTACTGCTAATGTTGTCGGTGGTGGGAAATCGATTTCTGATATTGCTGCCGGCCAACAAACTCAATCTCAAGAAGATGTCAGTGGTCGTGGTGCTGATGAAGTTGATGATGATGATGATTTATTAGCTAAGAAGATTAATGCCGAAGCTGCCCAATTAGCTGAAGTTGTAGTTAAGGATGATGACTGGGCTGTTGACATGTCCGAAGAAGCCGTTGCTGCAAGAGCAAGAGAATTAGAAGGATTGACTTTGACTGAAAATAAGTTCAACGATCTTGGTGAATGGTTATTAAGTGAAGCAGAAGATTCGAAAGAAAAGTTGCCTTCTGATGTTGAAATTTATAAGAAGATTGTTGAATTAGATATTGCTGATAGACCGGAAACTGTCCAAGTTTTGGCCCAAGTCTTATTCGATGACGATATACTAGAACAAATCGAACCTCATATTGGTTTATTAGCTAAATTAATCAATGGTGATGATGAATTTGAAATGGCTTTCTTGGGTGGATTGGAAAGATTCCTTGGTTTAGAAAAACCAGATTTAATTCCTCAACTTCCAAAAATCTTACATCAATTCTATGATAAGGATTTAATAAGTGAACAAACTTTGATTTCTTGGGGTACTAAAGTATCAAAGAAATACGTTCCAAAGGATGTTTCTAAAAAGGTTAGAAAGGCTGCTAAGCCATTTACTAAATGGTTACAAGAAGCTGAAGAAGAAAGTGACGAAGAATAAATTATTCGCAAAAATATTGAATAGTAGTTTGTCTTGCTTTTATGTATAGTATTTTCTTTCATTTTGTGTATATATACAAATAAATCCTAAATATAGTACAGAGTTAAAACTTTTTATCGTTGATTTGGGGGTTGGGGCAGAATGAATTTTTGAAAGTTGGGCATATTTGCTCCTGAAGGATTAAAGTTTGACATATTAGGTAAATTTGGCATGCTCATACCTGGAGGCATAGTCATTCCAGGAGGCAAGGTCATACCTGGTGGCATACTCATCCCGGGTGGCATGTTCATACCTGGTGGCATACTCATACCTGGTGGCATACTCATACCAGGGGGCATACTCATCCCAGGTGGCATACTCATACCTGGTGGCATCGGTGGCATACCAGGTGGCATACTCATACCCGGTGGCATCATTCCTAGAGGAGGCATACCCATTGGTGGCATTCCTGCGGGAGTTGCAGCCCCACCTTTCATAATATCAGCCATGACTTTTTGTGGATTGAACTCTCCTCTGGTATTATCTTGTTTATAACAATATGCTGTCCATGTGAATTCATCAAATCCATAATTGAAATAATCAGAAATATCCACCCCTGGTGCTCTCCAGGGTTTATCTTTCAATGTTTCTAAATCCAACTGAGTTATTGGTTTACCTTCATATTCTCCCACTGCATTTATGTCAATTGTAGAAGTAGATCCATCATTGGCTACAACTGTAGTAGTGGTCGCAACTCCTGAGTCTTTCTCGGCGTCAGTATCTACCACTTCGGATAGTATGTCATTGCCTGGCACGAGAGACAATGTTTTGGGCGCAGTGTCACCTATTATAATATCAATATCATCGTCTGAATCTTCTTCCTCTTCCTCTTCTTCGTCATCATCGTCCTCTTCTTCTTCTTCTTCATTCGCCTCCTGTTCTGCTCCTTCACCTTCATCTGCTTGCTCTATTTGCTTCTCTTCCAGTCGTTCTTTTTGCCCTGTATTATCTATTTCTTCATCTGCTTGCTGTGACACTTTTTGTTTTTTTGTTATATGTTCATCTTCATCATCTGATCCATAGAGAAAAGCATCTTCGTCATCTGAATGTGCCATTGTATGTATTCTACGCTATTTCTGTAATTCTGATAAATATGAGATGATGATGATTAATGAATTGGAATTTTTGATGTTTGATTTTTTGGTATAAATTTAAAACGACATATGTCGTAATGATTTATGTCGCGCGCTTTATTTTTGGCATGGTTGCAAAAGCGCAATCCATGGGTGTCGTGGAAGTTGTTAAGTTAACATCTCAGTCTTCAGCAAACCTATTATACAGATTAAATCATTATAGAAACAATGCTCAACTACGACCGAAAAGCCTTTATTAAAACCTAAGAAGTATAAAGTAGTATTTAAAATTGCCATACTTCTTTCAGAGGCAATCTGACTTATGAAATCGATTGGTTGAATTTATATTGCCCTAAAGTTGCTCTTTGAATTTCCATAGCAACAAGAAGTAAATGTAGTATTCTTGCATCTAATTCCAAGGGATCATACTTTGATTCTCTTTCACGAGGTACTTCATTTGCAATGTTTCAAGCCAATGTCACTGACAAATAAATTTAAGGAAAGTATCCACACAGTTAAGTCTCAACTACAACCTCACCAAACCTATTTTACCAAACTAACCCAAAAACGTATAGAAAACTATCAAGATAAGCTTACCCCATTACTACACCATAATTATGAAATAGCAGTTGATACAGATCATTCAAAAACAAATCCGCCCGTTGATTTTTCAAATGTATTAGAAGTTCCCATGTTCTCAATTATAAACTTACGAGTGCAACCAGGTGACGATTACTTTGTATTGTGGTTCTTAATCTCATCTTACTTCCCGTTAATTGTGGCATGTTTGGGCCCACTTGCAAACATGCTTGGAATAATCTCCATCATGGAGAAATGGAAATTTGATTCAGTCCTGCAGAAACTTATTAAAGACGATAATAAAGTCATAATTATGAATTCAATTTCATTAGCCTTGGGAATTTTGGGTAATGTTTCTTTATTAATGAATTTTTCAGGTACAGTCAAATACCTAATTAGTCAATGTATTTCAATAATATCCTGGTTTTGTGCTTCCATATTTTTAGTGGCTGGTATCCTTATCGCCAACAAACGCCTTGAAGGACAGGCTGGTCGTTCAGAAGGGTTTTATTGTGCAGTATTTACGTCGTTCTTTTATTTTTGTTGCACATTAATCCTATCAATAAACTTCATCGGTTACAAACTCGACAAATACCCGGCCACGTTCAATCTCAATCATAAACAACGCACATTAATGTTATTCACCATCATCTTTGTTGTCTGGACAATCATAAACACAATAATAATGGCTCATTTGATCGCGAATATATCCTACGGTCAGTCATTATTCTTTTGCATTTCATCATTCCTAACCATTGGATATGGAAATACCGTGCCAATAAGTGCAGGTTCTCGGTCTATGTGTATGATATTGTCAATCGTCGGGCTCATACTTATGGGGTTAATTGTGACCACAATCAGGGGAGTCGTACTATCCCTGGGGAGACCAGTCATCTTTTGGCATCGCATTGAAAAGGAACGCCTCAAAGCATTGCAGTCACTAAAGAATAGGAATGAATTCTTGACACCAGACCAAGCATTTCATAAAATGAGACATATCAGAACCAGGGTCAAATCGAATCAAATCAGGATTTCCCTCTTGATCATTAGCATTATATTTATTGGATTTTGGTTGTTGGGTGCTTTGGTGTTTTCCACAAGTGAAAATTGGACGTATTTCGAAGGGGTATATTTTTGTTTTATGACATTATTAACGATCGGATATGGAGATTTTGTACCTGAGACAAGTTTTGGAAGGATGGTTTTTGTATGTTGGGCAATTGGCGCTGTTCCTTTGATGACTATATTGGTTTCGGATTTCGGGGATGAATTATATGAATTGTCTAACCATACGAGTTATCTTTTTTCAAAATGGATATTCAAAAGAGGAGTTGAAGAACATGAAGTTGATCACTTCAAAAAGAGACAACGGGAAGAAGAACAATCATCAGATGATGAATCTAGTGTTGAAAGCAAAATTGTTGATTCTGACCAAAGACCAGATGAGGAAGAAGAACTAGAAACTTTGGAAGAAGAAAGCGATCCAAACGCAATCTTACAACATTTGCATCTCCAAGCCAAGCGTCATAATCAAAAGAAACTAGGCATTCTCAAGCTGTCAGCCATCAATAGAGCGGAAGAAAAGAAGAAAGCTCATGAAGATCTACTAATCTTTCTTGAGAAATTAAAACCATTAATTACCGCCTCTATCGAGAATCCACTTAAAAAATACAATCAAAAGAAATGGGAGGAGATTTTGGAAGTTTTGGATCATGATGAAATTGAAGCCATCCGTAGTAATGAGAAAGTCGCTGATGGTTTTTGGTTAAGTGACAATTCTCCATTAAGATTGCCACTAAAAGAACCAAATTATCTTATTTTAAGACTCTATTTTAAAATTGAAGAAAGCTTAAAGAATCTTGTTGATGCTGAAATTGAAGCCTGGGAACAATTAGATCAATCAGATGGATCACCTGTTGAATAGAAAGACACGTATAGCCATTAGAAAGACTTCTACGAAGACTACTCTTAATGATGTTATATTACAAGTAAACATCTATCACCTCCAACATGTAGATAAAGCTGTTACTAATGTAATT